GTGTTTCTCTGTCTTCGTCAAGTGCAGGTGGCTATGGCAAAAACCTAAACAAAAATTTCAGATTTTTCATTAAAAATGGAAAAAGGTTTATTTCATTTAAATACGTAACTCCGTGTTGTATCAGGTCAGCTAGCACTTTCTTTTTACAGATGAGGGACTTAACCTTGCCCAGGTACTTAGTGATGAGTACATTGTAGAGCCAGAATTCCAAACCCCTTTCTATTACCTCCAAAGCCCTGGCTCTTAGCCACCGCACTGTCACCCACATCATCTGAGATGACCAAATCCACAGGTATAAAATTGTGCTGATCGTAACTCAGTTTCAGACATGGCAGAAAAATAACTATGTTTTCTATGTAAAAGAGCACCTTAACACAAATGGAAAGCCAAGCTCAAGAATCTATGAGAAGAAATCATTTGAATAAACTTCCCAGTTCACAGGAACTCATCATCATCATTGGTGGAGCACTCAGTACGCAGTAGGCAATGGTACAAGTTTTCTTGTTTGCCCCAGAGCGCTCATGTGATCGTGGGGGTGGGAGGCAACAAAGACAGGGAAAAGTGGAGAATGCAGGGCTTCTCCACAGTCCTTTCTCCACTTCTCCCTCCTCTCAGGATTTTAGGTGCATGTGGGCATACCCTCTCACCACCACCCAGTGTGTGTTGGTCAATCTGCCAGGTTGAGGACTCGAACCACACAGTTGGCCATGTGGGATTCAGAGCCTTAACTATTAGACCGTGGGTTGGCCCAGCTCTTTTTTTTTTTTTTGGTACATTTATTATTTTTTTCCAATGAATGAGAGAGACAGAGAAACATCAACCCTAATAGGGTCTTAATGCTGCAATCTGTTACCAGCTTCAGCCAACACAAAATTATGGCTTTGGTGTGCAGGCCTACATAGGATCCCCTCCAGTTTGGTCATGATTCTAGAACCTTCCAGTGTGGGTCAGCCCTGAAGAATGTTGTGTTTACTGCCATAGCACTGTCTCCACCCCGATCCAAGCTTTTGGTCTTCACAACAACCTATGAGTTAATTTAGAATCTACATTTAACAAAGGAAAGCGAGCCAGAGAGTTTAATTCACACAGCTTAGACAAAAACAAGAGAGACAAGTGTTTATTCGGAAACACATGGGCTCCAGGTAACATATATGGAGCAAAAGCAATGTGAAGACGAGGTCAGACTTCTGTGCTACCACAATCACTATGGAAGGCTGAAAGGTATGGAGAACTTGAGCTTTCAGATAGTAGTACCCTGGTCACTGCTCTACTGCCGGAGTTGCTGTTTAGCTTGGCATCTTCTCTAATAAAATTATTAGAGACCAATTTTAAATTTTTGCTTTCAGGTCAGCTAGTAGCACAGTGGTTGAGGTGACTGGATCCCTTATGGCCAACTGCATGGTTCAAATCCCAGTTGAACCTTGGCTGCTTGAGAAAAATGAGCCAGGAGCAGGTGTGTGCTTCCCCAAAATCCTGAAAGAAGAAATGGAGGAGAAGGTATTGCTGCATGGCCATCCCTTATGGGGAGAGGGGGCTGCTTTCTCACTTTCCCTCTCTTTTTCTGTCTCTTTCCAGTGAGTGCAAGCGCCCTCTAGCAGATTTTTTTAAAAGTTGTTTTCTGGGGACCAGCAGGTGGCATGGTGGTTAAGGTGCTGGACACTCCCACGTGGCTGACCATGGTTCAAGTCCCAGACCTGATGGCTTGCTTTCTCACTTTCCTTCTTTCTCTCTCTCTCTCTAGTCTCTCTATGGTCACATTAAAAAATAAATGAATGAATATGTAAAATTAAATAACATAATTCTTTAAAAAAAAAAATAGTTGAGACCATCAGTTAGCGTAATGGCTATGTCACTGGACTCCCATGTAGTCGACCGCGGTTCGCGTGGACTCCCACAAGGCTGACTGTGGTTCAAGTCTTGGACCTGGCAGCTTGCTTTCTCTCTTTCTTACTTTCTGCCTCTTTCTCTGGTCAAAAGTAAAACAAATAATAATAATAAATAAAGTTAAATAAAATAATTCTTCCAAAAAAAGTTTTCTTATTCACTGAATGACTGGGTTAATATACCTTAAGAAAACTCATAATTGAGGTGGGACCAGCAGTTAGCGTAATGGCTATGTCACTAGACTCCCATGTAGTCGACCGCGGTTCAAGTCTTGGACCCGGCAGCTTAAACTCACGCCGGGTGCATGTGTGTGTGTGCCCAAGATCCCGAGAGGAGAATGGAGGAGAAAGGATTGTGGTGTGGCCATCCCCCCTGGGGGGTGATTTCTCGCTTTATATCTCTCTGTCTCTCTCTGTCTATCTGGCGAGCGTACACACCCTATAGCAAAAACCTCTCAAAAAAAAAATCATAATTGAGGTCTAAAATTCAGTTTTTTATAGTTTCCCAGCTTTCTGTGATAGTTTTCTTTTGTCATCATGCTAAAAAGAAGTCCATAATTTTTTTCCTAAAAGAATTGCTTATTTAATTAATTATTATTATTTTAATTTGCTATAGGACATGTGCATTCACCAAAGAGAGAGAGAAAGCAAGAAAGCAAGCCACCAGGTCCAGGACTCAAACCGTGGTCAGCCATGTGGGAGTCCAGCACCTTAATCAGCATGCCACTTGCCAGCCCCAGAAGTCTATCTTAATGTAATATGTAAATTGTGTATTTTAGGAAACTTCTGCCAAATTCTTAATTTATTTTGGGCTAAGCAAATAAGACTGTAGGTGGGTGTTAGTGCTGTACACGTGGCTTCTTTCCAGTGAACACTTGCTTAACTTCATCCTAGGGCATGAGCGCGGTAACGGAGGGGCTCAGGACAGCAGGTAGGTCCAGCTGCGGTGGTGCAGGCAGCATTTGCCTGTCACAGTGATTTTCAGACCGTGAGGTTGCTGCAGGCATCACCTAGGGTTTTTATTTTTAAGAGAAAGATTTTTTGCAATAGGACATGTGCCCTTGCCAGAGAGAGAGAAAAAGAAGTGAGAAATCATCCCCTTGGGGGGATGGCCTGCCACAATCCCTTCTCCATTCTCCTCCTGGGATTTTGGGCGTGTGTATGTTCGCATGTGTGCGTGCACATGTGCGGCATGGGTTTCAGGCCTCTAGGTCTGGGACTCAAACAACAGGTGGCCATGTGGGAATCTGGTGGTTTAATTACTGTGCCACCTGCTTGCCCCAGAATCATCTAGGATTTTTTTTTCCCCCCACAGGAAAATTTTGAGTTCATTAATCCTCTTATGAAAAATCTGCACAATCATCGCAGATAGTCATTGCAGAATCTTCACTCCTCTGACTGTTCTCCAACTCTCCCACTCACTGTTAGCCAGCACCAACATTGGCCTTTAAGTTCCTGACTTTCTTCATTCTGTTCTTGCGTTTCTTTTGCTGTTTTATTTTTTGACATCTTTTTCTTCTCATACAGGCCATGTCTTTAAGTCATGTTTGGGTTCAGCTTTTCTTTGCATAATCCAAAGAATCGTAAATCATGCCAAAGCCAGTTGTCTTGCCACCACCAAAATGGGTTCTGAAGCCAAATACAAAGATGACATCTTGTGTGGTCTTGTACATCTTCGCTAATGTTTCCTGAATTTCTGTCTTAGATATTGTTGCCTTCCCAGGGTGAAGGACATCAATGACCATTTGTTTCCTCTGAAGTAGTCGG